AGTGTGGTCGTTTCCCCGTCAGTGTGGTCGTTTCCCCGTCAGTGTGGTCGTTTCCCCGTCAGTGTGGTGGTTTCCCCGTCAGTGTGGTGGTTTCCCCGTCAGCGTGGTCGTTTCCCCGTCAGTGTGGAAGTTTCCCCGTCAGTGTGGTGGTTTCCCCGTCAGTGTGGAAGTTTCCCCGTCAGTGTGGTCGTTTTCCCGTCAGTGTGGTCGTTTCCCCGTCAGTGTGCTTGTTTCCCCGTCAGTGTGGAGGTTGTTGGTTGTTTCCCAGTCGCGTCTATGGTTATGTCTCCCAAAGTTCGATCTAATATGATGTTATGTTATGTTATGCTTTATGTTATGTTATGTTATGCTTTATGTTATTTTATTTTATGTTATGTTATGTTATGTTACAGTGTAGTGTTTGTACGTGATATTCATTTCTTTTGCTGTAATTTTTGTCGACTTTGACAAATTTTACAGACTGACAGGCGGACAGATTTGATTCTTCTTTCTATTTTGAGTAATAGCTGTGACGCATTAGACCCTTAGAGGTTAGAAATATGCTAGTTATAAATGTATCAAAATGTATCTTTGTTTTTTAGTGTTGCCTTATAATTAGCTACGTTAAGGTGTTAGACATTTGTCAACTTTTCACGTTTTAGTTCTTTCCAACAATAAATCAAGATGTGTAATTGGTTTTTATCACCTTTATTGTTCACCGTCATCATTAATCTCGAAGTAGTTCTCTCTATGTCTACATGTTATCTGACTTCCCCCAATGGTGTATTCACAAGTACAAGTAAAAAAAACTACAATATCGGACGACTGAAATCATTTAAACATAATCTCCAATTTGACACTGCATCTGGTGCTGTGTTAGTAACTGCGGGAAAACCTGGCATCCCCGCCACCACGTTTTACCATCACTATTGTCTATATATAAACACTTCAAGTTGTATTTTTACACACTACTACTTATATCCGTAAATAATTTCATCAGGTTGGTAAACGAATGAAAATCAAATTTCTTTCATCACAACCATTTATTTTTCACGAGCCGACGTTTCGATGACCGTC